GGTTGCCCCCCCTCAAATGTGTGGAGAGCAAACACAACAGGCAAACAGAAAAGTGCTGGGAAAATAGCCTAATCAGTAAATATCAGCTTATCAATTAGTGAGATATGGTCTATACTTAGCGGTACACTTGGTTTAGTTACATCTCCGTTTGTATCTTAGTGGACCTTTTAACTCACCACCATGCATAACTAAACAGGTCAAGAAACTGCTTAGACGTAGGAAAAGGCGTTGACGTATGCTTATCCATACAGACTCTGAACAGTACATATTCACTTATTGTAAGACTAGGAACGGTTGCAAGGCGTTGATAAGGCTCGACATTCATATGATACACAATTTGTTAACTGTGAAAACAGTTAGTCAATGTTTCTCTAGCATAGAGATGCGAACTTAGAGAAGTGATGAAATTCCACCAATTTTGGTGAAAAATCCGCTTAGATTAGAAAGAAACGCTGAAGCTTTATCAGAATGTTTTAATAGTGTTTTCTATCGATGATAGTGAAATACTAACAACTAATTAAGATGGCGGCTTGTCGATGGATTCTCTGGTTATTGAGATACGGTTTTTCTTACAATTGCTTCAGATGGTTAGCATCTGGAGTTTCGTTTCTTGCTCAAAGTAGTGAATTACTGGAATTCTCAACCAGGAAATGTAATATCAGCACCTCCGGTTGGTATATTGTAGACAACATTGGGTCTTCACAGTGCTACAAATCGGAAGGATTAACGCAGGTCTATTGACCTATCCTTAGTAATAAACACTAGAGTTGGTATAGACACAATTGTGTCTAAATTAATTCAATCTCGTTAACCTTAACATAATATATTATACCATTACAATGGTATTAATTCATTACAAAAATTGCAAGTCGATATTTTTAAGGAATTGTTCTAAAGTTTGTCGATCGGTTAGATCGCGTTTAATGACAGATCGTTTAAGTGTTTCGTAGGGTTCCGAAACAGCACTAGTAAACATACTAGGTGTTGCGTTGCAATACGTGTAACCAGAGGTCACTAGAAGGCGGGAAGACCTAAAACCACGACACATACTATTTTAACTGAGCACTTTACACCACAGGGAGTACACGGAATGGAGACCGCCGGTCATTTATTCGAAAATTAAAACTCACGGGTTATGTACAGAAAGGAGAGGTAGTTTACAAAGCGGTCTTATGAGTCATCCTGTAAGTTTAGTGCATGCAGGGCTTGCTCTTCTACTTCTAAAGCATTAATTCTGGGTTGCCCTTCAATAGGAAGAAAACAAAATCTATTAACAACATCATACATGATGATTTTAACTCCGATTCAACATAACTGTTGAGTTTGCGCGGTAGTGCCTTGACTACTCTGATGAATTCCGCATGTGTGTCGTTCATGCGGTGCTCGTAAAAGCCGACTTCTGCGTAGCAGAACCAGGCTTCGATGTTGTCTGGCCAGAAGGGCATTAGTTGGAACGGACGTGGGGACATAGTCTTTAGCTTAAGTACCTTGCGCATCAATAGTGTGTCCTATGAAGTCTAATGGGTCAGTTCGGATTTGGCATTTTTGAATGATTACAGTAGTGTCATGTTTTTGTAGTCGGTTGAAAACAAAATCCGGACGCTGGAGATGCGATTCTCTGTCCGGACTGTATATAAGGCAGTCAACATCATACTGATGTACGAGGTTGAGACCTCGAAAAACGTCAGCTATGGGCCTTTGGAAGTTCTGGGCATCGTTTCTTTGACTGAAAGGCATTCGCGAAAATTCGTAGTTTGAAGGGAGAATTGATAGCGGTTTTCGGTATATAGTCTGTAGCCATAGGGGTTTGGTTATACGCTTTAACCAAGACGATTTTCGAAAAAACAGTTGCACCTTTCAAGGTAGCTGTCAAGTCGTGAAGGTGAGGCAACGGGTAACGATCAAGAATGGTTTCTGAATTCAATCGCCGGCGGTCACCAATTGGACGCCAATCGTTGCTGTCCTTTTTGGGGACCATGTGCAGCGGAGGTGAATATGGGCTATTTGACGGTCGTGTGATTCCTAAGTCCATCATATGTTCGAACTCGCCTTTCGCCAACCTTAGCTTTTCGGGGGCTAGTCGTTGTGCTTTAGAGAATACAGGTGTTCCTGTAGTCGTGATGTGATGTGTAACATTGCTGGTTACACAGGGTAATTTCGGTTGCAGTTGGTATATCCCAGAATACTTATCGAGTAGTGGTTGATAAAGTGAGTCTATCGTATGCTTAACTGTGACTGAGGATAATCTGCAACCAGAAAGGGAAGTTACGCAAACGGATAAATTAGTGTTTCTGTCTAATAGCTTCCGTTTGCGCGTATCGATGAGTAGACTAAGGTGTTGTAGAAGGTCTATACCAATGATTGGCATAGAAACATCTGAAACAACGAAGATCCAGTGTATGGGTTTGCGTAAACCCATGTTAACATAAACATACTTTTTACCATATGTGGCTGTAGGCTTTCCGTTTGCCGCCTGTAAGTTTAAAACCGATTAGTGGAGCCGGTCGTTAGGATTCGCTGGGAGAAAGCTAATTTCCGCGCCAGTGTCGATGATGTAGCGAACTCTCGTTGTCACATCTGTCACGTATAACAGATGGCAATGTTCGCCGGCTGCGTTTGCCGTTAAGGCGTGCCAGCTTGAACGTTTCCCGAGTTGTTTTTCGTGTCGGTCGATTTTGAGTTGGGAAAATTGCAGGGTCCTCTGCAATTTCTGGAGGACTTTCCATACTGATTTTTATGCCAGCACCAGTCGGGGTTATCCGTCTCTCGTGGTCTAGAGACAGATCGCTTACGTGAAGTGTCTCTTCTCAAGGTGTGTGACCGTTTACGTTCGTTACGAAATTCACGATAGCGTGTTAGTGTATGACAGAACTCAGTTATTTTATTCTGGGTCGTTCGAGGCTTTTCTTTGACTGAAAAAAACTTGGTATCAGAAGATTTGGTGATTTCTAAAATATGGTCGGCAGATGCAGCCAGCTCGTCTACGGCCTCGTTTTGAAACGAGACCAACACAGCTTGCGCCCGTGAGGAAGTTTGGATAAGAAAAGTTGTTTAAATAGGCCATCATCAAGGGTTCCTTGGCTGATAACCTCTCTCATTCGTTGCAACACGTCCGTCGCAGAACCGTGTTGCAGGTCGATGTGGTTGCGGAGTTGGTCTAATCTTTGTCTATCGGTTAGGTCTCCGTGTTTAAGAATAGAACGTTTCAGTGTTTCGTAAGGTTCCGAAACATCAATAGTAAACATTCTAGGTGTTACTTCACTTGGTATTGTTCTACTTGAATCTTCCCATTGATGTCTTAGGAACGCGCGTCCTGGATTCCACTGCTAGCCACTATCCATCTTTGATTATAATGCTTGTAAATTAAGGCAATCTCGAGGCATACGCACAGAATGCACATATGCCAATAAGAGACTGATGAATTTCAGTCCTACAACATCGATGGAAAGATTCAAGCAGAACAATACCAAGTGAATTAAACTTCACCCCATTGCACAAGCAAGTGGCTATCAGGACTCAGTAGCTAAGTGGATAACGCGATGGAGTTTGAAGCGAACGGTATTTAGTTCAAGTCATAGAGTGAACATCAACTCTGAGATGCGGATACATCCAGCTGACGAGTCCCAAACAGAACGAAACGCGCGTCCTGGGTTCCACTGCTGGCCATTATCGTTCTAAGCGTTACGTACCTGTTAAATTTGCGCAGTAGTGCCTTGACTACTCTGAGGAATTCCGCATGTGTGTCGTTCACGCGGTGCTCGTAGAAGTCGACTTCTGCGTAGCAGAACCAGGCTTCGATGTTGTTTGGCCAGAAGGGCATTAATTGGAACGGACGTAGTGATATAGTCCTTAGCTTAAGTACCTTGGGTGTCTGTTCCGCCATGGTGCAATATCTAGTACGAGAATGAAGGAGTGCAAAATATCAAAAACACGGGGAAAATTATCACAATATTTGAAAAAATGGAGCATGGTCGGCGGCCTATGCTCCATTAGGAGTAACAGGTGTAAGTAAGTACGTAAGTAAATAAGTAAGTAAGTAATAATATACGGAATTCCAAAAAAGAACAGACTCACAGTTTAAAATTTGGCGTACTAGATCACGTCGAGCTCAACTATCAAGATGCCACAGGTATTCGGAGTTTTACAACTCTTTAACCAGTAACACCTTCTAATATGAAGAGCACCCACCAAGTGAAATCAAAAGACGGAAGCGAGGACGTTCGAATATATATTTGATTGGCCATCAATATATCGAGGATCGTCTGATCTAATCTGGCTAGCGATTGCAGGGGTTTTTGAGCACGTCGTTCCCACTCGTGATCTGGTGAGGATGCATGACCAAGTGCCTTCAGCCATGTGAGTCCATTAAAACTAATGTGGTCAGCATCCAATGTCGAAAACTTACAGAGCTATTTATTTTGTTGATTTATTTTCAGCTACAAGGTCATAGACCCAAATCAAAGGTTCACTATCTGTGGTTTTGTTATTTGTACAATGCAATGAATTGTCTCAGTTCTGAAGCAAAACACACTATATAAGGACGTTCATTTGGTATATTCCAAGCAAGTTTGTGTCTTCACAGTCTTAGAAATAAGAGGAGTATAACGTGGGTTGATGGACCTATACTTACTACTGAAAATTGAAGATAATTGGTAAGCTGTGATGTTTTGAAGAATATCTGCCTGGGAGTGTCATTTGCACAGACAAAAAAATAAGAAAGACCACAATGGACTTTTGTAGACACAACTGAGACCTACAGGATACTAAACAATGAATAGTTTGCTGTGACCCAAGATAGTACATCATCTTTGTGGCCTAAGCCTGTTTGCATAAGAGATTGGATACTATTCTAATAAGAGAATGAAAAAAGGTTTAATGTTTTGAACAGCAAGCATATACTGATCATTGAAATTGTTTCGAACAAGCCCCAATCGACCTACTGTATTTTTACTTCTTGCACTTTTTTGAGCATTGACCTTGACATAAGTCTATAGTATGTGATGTCTCTTAGGTTGCTTTTTGGCTCAGTGAAACTAAGACATCTTTGGATGCTAGTTTTGGCATATGTTATCTCGTTCATTGTGGTGGATCATCATAGCTTTTCGCTGATACCAGTTTGGGCTTTACATTTAAAAACTAATAAACATGTTCCAGTTGAGTCAGATGGAAATTCTAGCAATTTGTTTAGCACAGTTGTCGAGTACTCATCACACAATCGGAGCATCTACTTGTCAGTTACTGTTCCTCAATCAAATAGTAGTTCTTCATACGATTTGGTCGTTTTCCAACTCCCTATGTCAAAGTCACTTGAGTTTTCTGTTATGGATCCTGATCGTAAAATAGCTAATTCTCTAAATTTCCAAAAAATACAGTCAAACAGTTTTAACCGAAAACCGGTCAGGTTGAAATCTTTGTTTTATAAAGGTAGTTTGGTAGGTTTAATTTGTTGCTAGGCATGTACTTTTTGGGTTTAGATCCATGTGGTTGTAGAATGTCGCAAAATTAGCTCTCCAGTGAACTCTTATGTTTTATTTGAGATTGCTGTGTACAATAGTCAGCTCAGAGAAACATGGAGGAGAGCTCTTTATCAAATTCAACTGGATGAGAACGCTCTAGACTTCAAATCAGTTCCTATCTCCTTATCATTTGATTTAACATGCGGTTTGGTTTATCCTAGACTTTGTGGGGTGATCTTTGTCGGTTTCCTGACAAATAAGTAAGTTTGATCATCTAAATACTTATTCTTGTAAGGATTGATATATGTCACCTAATGCCAGGGATTTCCCATTTTCTATTCTACTGAATTATGTTTAGAAATTTACAAAATGATCGTTTAAGTGCGTCATGGCAAAACAAATGGTTTTGGCGTCATAATCACTGATGGTATTTGGGTAGTTAGTGTCTAACTATGACAAATATTCCTTATCAATGCATTGATGGTATAAACATTGTTATGTTATTCACAAACAAAACTACATTATTAAGGAAAAAATCTAGTTTTCGGAACCCCTGAAACTGATGTTAGTGTTATTTAGTGTAGCCACCTTATTGATGATATGAATCCTGCTCACGAAAGCCGACTGAAATTTGACTTGCTACTGTGGAAACATTCACTTTGTGACTGAGACTAGCAACATGGTGGAACAATTTCGACAACTTTCATGTTTACATCAATAACATGACGGTTAAGGATGAACCATAACAGAAAGTTCAGTATTTAACTTGATTGTTCCAAAAACGGCTGCGATTTGTAAAATCATCATGTAAGTAATGTTAAGACGGAGCGTCAAGTTAGATTTCGGAATACCTAATTGCACAAAATTACATAATAATAACCACTGAAGCCTAATGTTAATACCACTATGCTAGCGTACATGCAGTCCAGCACGAAGTCAGGTGCATGTTTCATTCAACCACCGAAGCCTGGGGTAAATGCCACTAAGCCAGCGTTCATGCTTCATTATATATTTTTAGGTCGTGATAATGATCTATCCGCAGGTTCACCTACGGAAACCTTGTTACAACTTTTACTTCCTCTAAATAGTCAGATTAAGTCATCTCAGCATCAGTCGAGTGGCAAAGCCACTACAACGACACCAATCCAATCGGTAGTAGCGATGGGCGGTGTGTACAAAGGGCAGGGTCATAATCAGCGCAAGCTTATGAGTTACATTTACCAGGAATTCCTCATTCACGGGGATTAATTGCAAACCCCAGTCACGAACTTGATGAAACAGTTTGCCCAACCCTTTCGGCCAGGTGGTCAAACTCGTTGGCACCGTCATTGTAGCGCACGTGTGTCTCCAGACATCTAAGGGAATCACAGACGCGTTATTGCTCAGTTTCGTGCCACTTAAATATGACGCCTGTCCCTCTAAGAAGTAAAAAGTGGTACCGCACCCGCCGGCTCACGACCACACTACTCCATAAAAAGCAATGGAAGCCACGCCCTAAACGAGCACAGAGGACCAGTCTACTATTTATCAGGTTAAAGTTCTTGTTTGTCATCGGAATTAACCAGACAAGTCGCTCCACCAACTAAAAACGGCCATGCGCGTTTGGTATGATCGTTAAGAACGTTCGCATCCATTCAACTGTAACAGGGTTGTTCATGACCAGGTTCAAGACAGAATCAATGCAGTTAAACCATGAGATAGGTTTGATCTGTTGGATTGTTTTGTTTTAAAATAGATTCATTGCAAATTTGGAAGTACGTTTGTTTCGTATTTATTTAGATCGTACAAATAAACTTTTAAAGTTTTTCGTCTGTGTCACGAGTTTATCCCCCTTATCTTGGTTTCTGTGATACTCAGCAACCGTGCACATACACTATTATGCTAAACTGCAAGCTTCAGATTTATGTCATACTTATGTACTGGATAGTGATACTACTGTTGTAGAGGTAGAATTCAAACATTAAGAGTCGCCAATCCACTGCTGTTTATGGAATTAATTCGCTACTGTAGGTAAGGCACTTGGTTGGTTTGACCCCACTGAACTAAGACATAGTTGTTACTTTCTTTTGGTTTGGTCTTAGCATAATCATTTCCTGTATTATGAATCGTGTTTTGTGACTACGTATACTGTGTCAAATCAAAAACTGGTTTTAGAGGATAACGGTTGCTTAGTGTTGCAAAGCAATCTAGCGATTTTCCACTTTCAGATCTAAATGTCTGCTATATGCTGACTTGAGAGGCTTCTAATGGTACTACAGCTTTGCAACACTTAGCATCAATTTTCAGTTCAAATCGATCCCTTGAATTCTGTATACTGATCATCCATAGCTTTGCTTGATTAGTCATAAGGTGACCATCGAATCCCCAGTTTTGAATCTGTATTCCTTGGTCATGTCATTACAGTCTACGGAATTTTATAGATCCTAGGTTTAATTTAAAATGCTCGCGCATATCTATCATTTTGCTTCATATTTAAGTACTTCTGTATTAGAATTTCCAAATTTATAAAAACTGTATACTATGGATGTCAAAATGGGTTAATGTAGTTGAATTCCATGTAAATCAACACTTTCTAAGACTATTTGAACTTAAGGTCTTACCTTTAAATTCTCCTGAACGATTTCTGTCCTATTTAGCTACATACTGTTAAGATTTACGTGTTTTTATCAATGATAATCATTAGTACTAGGTTAGATAACTTATATAGTCTCTGGTTATCTCATTTACAGAGATTATTTTTCATACACTCAAATTAATACTTTTTATACCTTATTCAAGAGCACATAGTACTTTTTCGCAAAAAAACTAGTTATACAAAACCTCATCTTTGTTATATATCTTTAACTGTTCAAATATGTGTTGTACATTTATTTATACTAAGGAACTATGATTTTTTGACCATATTAGAGTATGTAAATCAAGCTCATAACAGTGTTATGAGGTTGATGGCTAGGTGTTGTAATGATCGCACTTCAATTATATCCTGGTCCACTTCGTCAGGTTCATATCGTCCGCAGCTGATATAAATACACAAGTACGACAATTATTCACTAACTTCCAATGAACACGAAAGCTCACAGTTCTTCCTCTTATGAAAACACTTTTCAGTCCCACGGTGCAGAAAGCATAACCATTGTATAAATACCAATCAACAGTAAACGAATAACAAACCACCATAGTTTTTTCTGTGATCTACGTAAAAGTGTCTTAATGCGCTCATTAATTTAAAAATGACGAATATAACGTGCTTAACAAACAAATATGCTTATTTGTCTACTTAAGTGTACTAGTGTTTTTATTACTTCTTCTCACAGTTCTAACATATATCTGAACATTCATTCATTCATCCTTAATTTTAGCAATATTTCATTTTATACAATTGTTTCTTCATCTTCCCTAGTATCAGCTTATCACATTACTCTACCATATCCCTTTCATTGGATGATGGGGAAATACTTTGGCACCATCTAGTTGGTGATTTCGAAGATTCGATAAAAGTAAGATAAGTTTGATCATAAAGTGCTATGTAAATAAACAGGTTAGTGTTCCTTTTTCACACTGTCATTATTGGAAATGTGTAGATGTTTTTCAGCCTACTTTCACAACGTAGCGCATAGCTTTATGATTTAAAATAGACTAAATTATTTCCACTGATAACAAAAACTATCTCTTTCAGTATAGGGGATCGTGAAAATTGTTGAATTCCGTAGTTTTAGACCACATCCTGACTTTCTTGGATAACCATTGAAAAACAAGAAGCATTAGATAGACTATCTGTGAAACTCAAAATATTGCACAGTAAAAGTGTATACTTAATCCCTTGTTCACTACTGATCGTTTAGAATTTTACTTATAAAACTACTGATGTAGATTTTATTTATTGAGTTAAATTTTTAGTGGGAAATATGCATGTTAGGACGTTTCAAAATTAACGGAATTAATGACTTTGCTTACGCCTGTTACTCTTCATGGAGGAGCACAGGCCGCCCACAAGCATTATTATTATTATTATTATTATTATTATTATCATTATTATTATTATTATTATTATCTGCTTTATTCAGTATTATGTTTTTGGTACAATATAGAATTCTCAGCGCAAAGTATTTCAACAAGTTTCCGTTTCTTTCTTCTTGGTCGGTCCTGGCGATAAATATTGAGTGATCACCAGTTAGATGTTAGCACTTCAGTGAATGAACATCTGAATAATCTGCATTCTTTTCGTTGTATATTGCCAGCAACCACATTGTCTCTTATTGAGTTTTTTTGTAACTTTGACAACGAAAGGTTGTACACTTTTCAGAAACGCAGCAGGATAGGTTATGCGATTAATAAACATAATGATATATTAAAACAAACGAAAATAGATAACTTGTTGAAATATCTAGATGGCAGGAACAGGTAGCCCAGATGCTCAAGCAGGCCTCCCTTTTCTTCACCCAACTCCAACTGGGCAATCCTTCTCGGTTGCCATTCATCATTTTGATGCCTGCTTCCAATACCCAGCGCAATATGCTCCTTGGTCTTCCTCTTTTCCGTTTCCTTCCAGGATTCTAGTTAGCGCTTGCTTCGTGATGCAGTTTGGTGATTTCCAGAATGTATATCTTATCCACTCCCATCATCTTTTCTTAATTTTCTCCTTAGCTGGGACCTGCTTTGTTCTCTCCCGACCAACGGATATTGAGTATAATGCGTAGACAATTGATTATGGTTGTGGTAGTTCTCCAAGTTTCAGCTCCGTACAATAGAACTGTCTTGGCGTCCGTATTACAGATTGTGACTTTGATATTGGTTGACAGTTGTTTTGTGTCCCATATGTTGTCCAACTATACGAAAGCTGTCCTTTCTTTAGCATCCCTTGCCTTTAAGTCTGCATCAGATCCTCCTTGTTCATCAGTCAGTCAGTCAGTCAGTCAGCTACAACGTAGGACCAGGCACATATGTGCATCGGTCCAGGTTGCCATACCGCATCAGCACAACAAGATGAACACCGGATTCATAGCATGTAAGAGAAAGATTGCATATAGAGATATAGTACAAGAAGAAAGAATTGGTTCGTAGAAAGAAAGATATGAAGTGATTTTAATCTCTTAGTTTAAGGGAAGACAGGGAGTGTATACACCGACGCCATTGTGATCGATTCTGAGCCATGTCACCAAGAGTCTCCAACCATTGGTTACGATAGTCACTCGGACCCCAACCAAGTAGTCTGCATCTGCCAACATGGCTCAGACTAGAAGTTAGTGACTTCAAGCACTGATGCCACGTTTTGGTTTGGCCGCCCCTAACTTTCTTCCAACCATTTCCAATACCGGATAGCATTGCACGTCGTGGTAATCGGTGTTCAGGCATACGTAACACGTGGCCCAACCATCTCAGTCGATGAAGATTCATAACCTCATCAACTGATTTACCATCATTCCCTAATACCCTGCGCCTAACCTCACTATTACTTACCTGGTGATCCCAGCAATATTTCTAAGGCATCTGTGGTCAAATGCTAGTAGCTTACGAGTGTCTTCTACTCTTAATGGCCATGTTTCGTTGCCGTAAAGTAAGACAGAACGGACTGCCGCGCAGTATACTCGTCCTTTTATTGATAGACGGATATCTCGCCTTCGCCATAGGTGACGCAAGTTGGCAAAAGCCAATCGAGCTTTTCGAATCCGTGCTGAGATTTCGTCCGATACCAACCCATTAGGGCTGATCAGACTTCCAAGATAAGTGAAGTTGTCAACGCGTTCGACTACTTCACTCCCTATCCTTAGTTCAGGTGTTGACGCAGACCAGTCCTGAAGCAACAACTTGCATTTAGAGGGAGAGAAGCGCATTCCAAACATTCTGGCATTGTTGCTCAGTGCTACCAGAAGACTCAGCATTTTGTCAGCGTCTTCACCAAACAGGACTATGTCATCTGCGTATTCTAAGTCGATAAGTGGACCTCCTGGAAGGAGATCAATACCCGAGAACTCAGTCGACGAGAAAGTTATTTCCATCAGTAGATCCATGATGAAGTTAAACAAGAATGGGGAAAGTGGACAGCCTTGACGGACACCACTTGAGGTTGCAAAAGTAGATGATAGTTCGCCATAAGCTCTGACTCGACTAGTAGTGTTCGAGTAAAGAGCCTTCACAAGGTTTATGTACTTCTGGGGTACACCTTTCAATGACAGACACTGCCACAGAATCTCGCGGTCTACCGAGTCAAATGCTGCTTTTAAGTCGAGAAAGACCACCATTGTCGGACGCCGATAAGTATGCCTGTGTTCTAGAATCTGACGAATGGTGAATATGTGGTCGATGCAGCCACGACCAGGTCTAAAGCCAGCTTGGTTCTCTCGTGTTTGCAGTTCACGAGTCTTAGTTAGGCGTCTGATAATTATCGAGGCTAGTATTTTAGATATTATATTAGTTAAACTAATCCCTCTATGGTTGTCACAGGATGATTTTGACCCTTTCTTATATATTGGGACGATAAGTGATTGTGACCAGTTAGATGGAATAACGTCTAACTCCCAGATTTTAGCTAAAATATTAGTCAACCTAATCGCTAAAATTGGACCACCATCCTTAAAGACCTCTGTAGCCAATCCATCTGGACCAGCTGCCCTTCCTCGTTTCAGATTAACTATAGCCTTCTCAACTTCAGCAAGCGTTGGGGGACCTACTTCAATGTTCCATTCACACTGTCTGGGAATGGAGGGTAGTTGTAGAGTAGTTGAAGGCCAGCTGAACTGTTCTCTGAAATGTTCCGCCCATCGTTCTAAACGTCTGGACTGGGAGCAGATGAGTGTATCGTCTTTTTCCGATATAATCTCACTTACACTTGACTTATTAATTCCAGTTTCTTTTATTAGTTTGTAAAGCTGTCTTGTGTTCCCTATAGTCGCCGCCTTTTCCATCTCTTTTGCTTTCGTTGCCCACCACTGCTCACGGTCGTTTCTCAGACTTTTTCTTAACCTAGATCTGATTTGTTGTCGCTCTTCATCATGTTCAGAACCTGATGGGACGAGTTTGCGAGAATCCATCAGTGTGATAGACTTTGAAGAAATCCACTGGTTCTTTGAAACTCTGTGGTTTAAGTCGCTAATAGATGTCACTGCTGCTTCCACAGCTGCTTGTATTTCATTCCAAGCAACATCTGGGTCAGCCTCGTCTTCAGAACTGCCTAACCGTGACCTCAGTTGTTCCTGGAACCTACTTTTGGTTTTCTCGTTACTCAACTCAGTTCTAACGGGTCTTTTTAATGTGGGTTTTTTTGCGTCCAGTGAGGCGCAAGCAGATGCGTGCCCGTATTAGGGCATGGTCGGAGTCCAAGCTGGTACTCCAGAATGAGCGACAATCTTGTACCGACCCTCTCCAACGATGACTGATGGCAATATGGTCTATTTGAGTCCATCGTTGGTTTGGTGCAGGCGGTCGCCACGTTAGACGATGTCTCTCCTTATGCTTAAAATTTGTGTTTGCTAAAAATAAGCGATTGTCTGAGCACAGTTGCAGCAAACGGTCACCATTATCTGTTCGCTGTGCCGGAATGCTAAAATATCCACCTAAATGCCTTTCTGTTTGGTTTAAACTACCTATCTGAGCATTAAAGTCACCTGCTACGAGTACTATGTCTGAGCGTTTAGCTTTCTGAAGAAGTTCGGACAGTTTTCTGTAAAATTCATCTTTCACATCATCTGAGCTGCAGTCAGTGGGAGCGTAGGCAGAAACGACAAAAAGGCAACGACGTGTGTCCCTATCCTTCCGAGTTTTTGCGGAGCCGTTTAGCCGAACAGCACATAGGCGACTGTTGACGGGGATCCACTCTAGCAGTGCTTGTTCCGCCCTCATGCTTAGTGCTATGCCTACACCTGCCAGTCCACGAGCCCTTACTTTGCCAATCCTCGCCTTTATGTCTGCATCTGAACCTCCTTGTTCATCGATGATGCTTCCCAGGCATGTGAGGGATTCTACATCTTCCAGAGTTTCGCCATCAAGAGTGATTGGATTGCTGTTCTCCGTGTTGTTTTTGAGGACCTTGGTTTTCCCCTTGTGTATGTTGAGGTCTACTGATGCAGAGACTGCTGCTACACTGTCTGTCTTTATCGGCATTTGTTCATGTGTATGCGATAGGAGGGCTAGGTCATCTACGAAGTTCAAATCGTCTAATTGATTCTGAGCTGTCCATTGTATGCCGTGTTTTCCCTCAGATGTTGAGGTCTTCATAATCTAGTCGACCACCAGAAGAAAGAGGAAGGGAGAGAGTAGACAGCCTTGTCTGACTCCGGTATTTACTTGGAATGCATCTGTCAGCTGTCCTCCATGCACGACCTTGCACTTTAGTCCGTCGTATGAGTTCCGGATAATGTTGACAGTCTTTTCAGGAACTACATAGGGTGGAAAAATTTTCCATAACGTTCTCCTATCTACACTGTCAAATACCTTTTCATAATCAATGAAGTTGATGTACAGTGACGAGTTCCACTCAACTGATTGTTCGACGATGATCCGTAGTGTTGCAATTTGGTCTGTGCACGACCGATCCTTTCGGAATCCAGCTTGTTGATCTCGAAGTTGAGCGTCTACTGCGTCTTTCATCCGGTTCAGCAACACTCTGTTAAAGACTTTCCCTGGTACTGACGGTAGTGTAATGCGCTTGTGGTTTTCATATTTGCTCATATCTCCTTTCTTCGGAATCTTGATGAGGTGTCCTTCTTTCCAGTCCATCGACACTTGTAGTTACTTCGATGTCTGACTTCAGTGCTTCAGCTGGTATATTGTCGGGTCCTGCTGCTTTCCCGCTCTTGATTTGTCTGATGGCCACTCTGATTTCTTTGGTCGTTGGTGGATTGACATCTATAGGATGATCTGTGTGTGCTGCTTCGATGTTCGGTGGATTCATTGAAGCCGACCCATTCAGGATTTTCTCGAAGTATTCTACCCATCTGTTCCGCTGTTGTTGAATTTCAGTGATTGGCCTGTCTTCTCTGTCTTTGACCGGTCTCTCTGGTTTACTATATCTCCCTGCTAGTTTCTTCGTTGTATCGTAAAGCTGTTTCACATTTCTTTCACTTGCAGCTTTTTCCACTGTCGTTGCTAGTTCTTCCACTCGTTTCTTGTCGGCTTTAATGCTCTTCTTCACTTGCTTGTTTGCTTCTATATATCCAGTTTGTGCTTGGACTTTTTCTGCTCGTGTTCGGCTGTTGTTAATTGCCGTCTTCTTGTTCTTCCTTTCTTTGATCCTGTCCAATGTTTCTATAGAGATCCATTCCTTATGATGATGCTTCTTGAGGCCCAGAACCTCCTGACGCGTTGAAGTTAATGCTTCTTTGATACCTTTCCAGTTGTCCTCCATAGTAGTTTCTTCTTCTTTCAGTAGATCCTGTAAGGCTTTGAACCCGTTGAGAGCTATCTTGAATTCATTTAGTGTGTCAGTATCTCGAAGGAAGGCTGTATTGAACCTTTGTAGTGCTGTTTGTCCAGTTCTTTTTCAGCTTCAGTTTTAAATTGGCTACAACTAGGTGGTGATCTGAAGCTATGTCAGCACCTCTCCTGGTTCTCACATCTTCCATTGTCCTTCGGAATTTTTGTTGATGCAAATATGATCTATTTGGTTCTCTGTAGTGTGGTCCGGCGAGATCCATGTAGCCCTGTGTATACGCTTGTGTGGAAATATTGTGCCTCCTATGACCAATTTGTTGAATACACATAGATGTGCAAATCTTTCTCCATTTTCGTTTCTCTCTCCCAGTCCATGTCGTCCCATAATATCTTCATATCCAGTGTTGTCTATTCCAACTTTGGCGTTTAGATCTCCCATCAGAATGGTGAGGTCCTTTCTTGGGCACTTCTCTATGATTGATTGCAGCCTCTCATAGAATTGATCTTTAATGTCGTCGTTGCTATGATTGGTGGGTGCATAACATTGAATGATATTCATTGTGATCCCCTCATTCTTTGTTTTGAATGATGCTTTGATAATTCCCATCTTACAAGTGCATTTCGTGCTACTTTGGACAGCATTAGAGCAACTCCCTGAGTGTGTGGAGCATTTTCCTCTTCGTGACCGGAGTACAGCAGTATCTCTCCCGTATTTAGCTTTTCTTGTCCAGCTTAGGTCCAATGGGTTTCGCTGATTCCCAGTACTGCCAAGTTGTATCTCCTCATTTCCATTGCTATTTGACTGGTCTTCCCGGTCTCCCACATTGTCCGTACGTTCCATGTACCTATAAAATTTTTGCTCTAGTTGTTAGAAGGGGCATCGGCCTCGTGGCTTCCGAAGGAGCTCGGTTTTCACCATGAGGCGTCATAACTCTTTTAAATGAAGACCTTCTAACTCCCAGGGCAGAGTTTAAATGGTTTGAATTATTTGTTTCTGGTTAGCGTTTTTTAGCGAGTTAGTTTTCTACGGGATGGGGTCGCTAACCCAATGCCCAACCATCATCGTCTACCTGAGCTTGGGACCGGCAGTAACTCTAGAAGAGCTAGAGGCGGAGTTCCTCAGAAGCAGAGGTCTTCATAATCCAGTCAACTACCAAAAGAAAGAGAAAAGGGAGAGTAAGCAGACTTGACTGACTTCGATCCTCACTTGGAATGCGTCTGTCAGCTGTCCTTCAAGCACGATTTTTCAGTGTAGTCCATCGTATGATTTGCGATTGATGCTGACGATTTCCACAAATACACTATAGTTTCGAAGAACATCACATAATAATCTTCTACCCACGCTATCAAATGTTTTCTCATAATCAAGTTAGTTGATATGTGTTGACGCTTTCCACTCAATCGATTGTTCAACGGTGATCCGTAGTGTTAGGATTTGGTCTGTGCACGATCGATCCCTACGGAATCCAGTCTGTTGATCTCGAAGTTGGGTGTCTACTGAATCTTTCGTCTGGTTCAGCAACACTATCGAAAACTTCTAGTGATACCGATAGTACTGCGATGCCTCTGCAGTTCTCACATTTGCTTAGATCTCCTTTCTTTTGTATTTTGATGAGGTCTCCTTCCTTCCAGTTTATCAGCGTCACTTGTTTCTCATCGAAAATCTTCGTGAATAGAGTATGGATCATGTTTGCAGTTGCTTCTATGTCTGACTTCAGTGCTTCGGCTGGTATATTGTCAGGTCCTACTGATTTCCCACTCTTGATTTGTCTGATGGCCATTCTGACTTTTGATCGTTGGTGGAGTGACCTCTGTTGGAGGTCTGTGTGTGCTGCTGTTATGTTTGGTGGGTTCAGTTGAGCTGGACTATTCAAGAGTTCAAATTGTTCTGACCATTTGTTCCTCAGCTCTTGAATCTCAATGTTCTAACCTGTTCGTTGGGGTTGAACATATTTCCCTGCTGGTCTTTTCGTCGGATCGTATCTTTGTTTCATATTCCTTTTTATGCTACCATTGTTATGTCTTGCACATATTTGCACTTACCAGCTCTAACGCTCTTTTCACTCGTTTTTTGCCTCTATGTATTTAGTTTGTTTCTGACTTTCTCTGCTGTTAAACCACACGTATGACGCTTGAGTTTGTAAACCAGAGTAAGTAGAATAGATCTCGACTTGCAATCTATTTGACTGTCCAGGGATCTTGGTACCTGCGTCGTAGCCCCATAGAATTGATCTATTCTGTTCAGTTCTTAGTGTAAAAGCTTGGATAGTGTCTGGTTCTCCTGAAAACCAACGTAAAATTATTCTCTTGCAGAGTGTATTTGTATAATTGTAATCCACTAGTTATGAATGAATATCTTGAAATATTAGATCATGGACTGAATACTACTTAGAATGAGTACTAATCAGTAATAGCGTTTAAATCTATGACGTATCAATTAACTCTACGTAATATTGTTCTTCCCTGTGAATTATCGATTGAATAGGTGATTTTGATGAAAGTAAATTGCATCACTGTATAATGCACGTCATTTTTTTCAACATAGGCTTATGAAAGTGATTTAGTTTTGAAGAACTGGAAAATACGCATTTCGAAACAATATCTGTTTAGAACACATATTGATGAATCCCCGTGGACCGAATTTACTGAAAGTCTCTCCCATATTTTCGTAAGTTTTATTACTATAATTCTATTACTAAGCTTGTTATTCGACTTCATTTACTATGAATCTTGTTTATTAGTTTTTAAAGAAGGAAACCTTGTTATAGGATTTCTCAGAAGAGCCCAGATCTTTGAATATTGTGTTCACGTTTCAAAGTCTCATCAATCCAAGTCGTGGTATTTTTATAAAGAGGTTACCACAAGTTCACTAATGCAAGTGAATAACTTTGTCTCTTACAATGCCTTTTTAAACCTTTTAAGATTCGATTTCCTGAGTTTTACTCCTGTAACTTCCCTCCTGAACGAGTCAACCTGGTTGTGTTCATTCTTTTGCCATTTTGAGATGAGACTATATGGCTGATTCTTTTGTGTAGGTTTCGCTGAATATATGTTACGTGTTGTATGGAGAGAGGTTTACTTGGGTGAGCGACATGGGTCGCCAGCTGTTTAATGTACTTGTTGGTGACTTAAGCGAATTATTTTATTTATTAGCCCTCCTCACTAAACAATCTTTGTCTCTAATATAGCATATTTATTACTAAACGTAAGATATGCATAATATATTTTATTTTGTGCGTTGAGTATTTAACTAGCCTCAATTCCTTATTTATCATTTGTAGCCTGTTCGTTGGTATGGTGTGGGTAGTTGTGAAATTCGCCTTGTATATGCAAAGAAACACTCAGAATATCCTGTAGAAAAGTCTCTGCGTACCCCAAATGCAATTGCTGTGATCCATCAATCAGGTCTAGATCTTCTAGATTTAAAATCTGGTCATCCGCTTATGACTATTACTTTAAGATGGAGTGAGTAAAGAGGTTACTGGTTTTTTCTTGGAAGAATTGTTGCGATGTCAGAATATGACCATGTTTGGTTATTCCTTAGCATAGACCTCATGATATAAATTACTACTATTCAGTTATGGCAACTTCAACTGAATAATTCAAATTGCTACATTGCTCGTTAATTGTTAACGCGAAGATGGAGGATAATGCTATTTTGAGAGAATTGTTGCGTTCGATATTGCTGAGAAACTGCATTCTAGGTTCGTTGAATCAAAGTTTGATAATGGTTACCTTTCAACTGAGATAAGAGATAAGATTTTACTTAACAAGCTACTAAAAACTACTAAAGGTTATCTTAATATTTTTTAACTGAACACTAGTATTGGTTTTTTCAGTCATCCATTTGTCTACAAAATTAATGTTAAACTTCGCATTTGTAAATTTGAAGACGTTTAAGCTGTAAATAGTTAACAAAGTGGTAAGGAAAAAGTAGTTCTAAACATTATATACTTTGCAAGCCATTAGGCAGGCAGAAAACTACACATAACTGGAAAAACAGTTAGCCTCTAAGAGTACCACACTTTCGAAGATCATTTTCTGCCAAAAATATATCTAACCGATGCTATGCATTTCGTTTTTAAACAAATATCAAGCGCGATATTGAAGACACTTATTTTGTGCTATTTAAATTTTATTAGTTTGAGAGAAATATAATAGAACGTCCTACTTATGTACGCTTTCCTATTTTAGAGATCGGATCAACATATACTATTCTCTCTACTCCGGTATCTGATGGTCTGATTAGTCGCCAGCTTGGATCGCCTACAATTTATGAACTACGAATTGCTTCGGAAATTACGGATTCCCCATCAAATGGTTTGAAGATAAAAGTGCATTCTAGTTCTGACCATGTTAATTCATCTCTGGAGAGTGACTTTTCACATACTGTCGACTGTCAGGGTATATTCATCCGTCACGAATCTGCACCTAACAACTGGCAAGCAGTCAAGTCGTTTTACTCAAACGAAATGATTGCAATTCATTCATCCACTTATCATGGTTTGTGTCGTCCTTTCAGAATGTGGGAGTATTCCAGACTAGGTAGATCTAATTGGCAAGAAGATTCAAGAAAATCTACTCCACCAGTTGTGGTGAAAAGGTAGTTTTAAAAGTCGTTTTTATGTGCTTTTATTTAAATAGTGACACGAATCAAATTAATGAATCAAGTTAATGGCTTATAAAACTTGCTGGTTCGGTTATGAATTAGTCATATCATTACTAGGTTTTCAACAACGTTTCATCTTTTGCCTATAAATTCCAATGCTTTAGTCAGTCATAATCAAAATATAGCGCGGCATAAATATACGTTATCCCAAGTTGCCATACCATATCAGGATGATGAGATGAAATCAATAAGTAGCAAACAAACAAAAATAATGTAATAGTGATGACCATGAGAACGATCCAACATTAAGAATATGATTCAAGAAGACAGAATAAAAATGGTATACATAGAAGATTTAGAGGAGGATAAACGATAAATATGTGTCATTGTGACCAATTCTGAGTCGTCTCTCCTAGTTTCTAACCACTGATCTCAGTTGTGTGTCCACCTTCTAACATACTTCATAGGTTGTTTTGTTTGGCCACCTGTAGCGTTTTTCCAACCTACCTTTACTCCGTCCAGCATTTCACATTGATTTAGTTTATGCTTAGACGCACATAACATATGTCTCAGCCATATCAATCTATGAAGATTCATAGCCTCATTAACTAATTTGGCGCCTTTAACACTACTTTTGGCTTTTGATAATCTTTCATAACCATGGTTCTAGAGCTTATGACTCCTTTTGTGCTAGATATTTGTGGCATAGATTTCAAATATAATCAACACTAAGACAGAATTTGTTTAGTTCAATGAAGTTAGAAAGGTTCATTAACTAAGAAATAGGTCGATGAAGTTGATTTTATCAGACAAATTTGTTTCATCTATTCCTGTCATATTGTTTCTGCTTAATGATTTCTCATTCTGTGAAAACACTTTATGTTGTTGGTTGATACCTGATTTATTCGGCACCATTTAGGTAAGAGACTGTGTAACGTTTTTTACTAATTTGCTGAAAAGACTTTATTAACCAACTAAATATAGACGTTAAGTGTTCGCGCGCGAGATCGAAGGTCCTGGGTTCGATTCTTGTGTGCAGGGTCGTAAATTCGCACTGATGAGAAGTCCCATACGAAGACAAAATGGCCGGTTAGTGCTCCCAAGTTTTCAGTGGTGGTCTAATTGAAACATTGGTTCATAATTCAAATGAAATTCAATCATCTTCACGACCCCATTCTGATAAATATAAAAGTTATTACTAAGATGATGATTTGATTAAAATATACATTTTAACAGTCCTACATATTTATTTTTTAATGATTATCAAAAATGCATACTACCAGTGAATTCTGTTGTAAAACATAGTGGTCTTATATTTTATAACTGACATCAATCATGAATCAGGCTAAATATTAAGGCTTGTTTAAAATATAACGTTTATTTTTTGATGACTTGAATAAATTGTGATGACTTAGTGAATACTTCACTCAACATACGGTTTGGATTATCTCACATCTTTAATTGCATTCGTGAATGGATAGAGGTTTAAAGTAAAATAAATTTTCTAGTGTTCTATTAGACAATACAATATACAGCTTGACATTCTTTTATTTTTGTCAGTTCAAGACTAATCATAGCAACTCAGTCGGGTTGTGTACTCACTTTATTTACCATAATCTAATAATAAGATCGATATTATTTGGGAAAATGCCCTTAAGAATAAGGTAATGAGTAGATGGAGACTATCATCGTTTTCGCTCAATGAATCTTCATTTCGTTTAGGCGCCTACTAAGCCTCATCGTTCCACACACAACTGAGTTAATGCAGCCGAACTTTAGTGATAACTATTATTAAGCGAAGTGAGTTGTCTCTATTTTCATTTATCGGTATTAAAATGGTCATAAACCTATGTAACGATTAGTGTACGCCACTTGATCTCTTATTTTTCCTCTATTTTTGATGTACAGACATATTCCATTATCAGGCTTAGCTAGATTATGGTATTCGTTGATGCGTGATAAATTTGATGAATTCAATCATTACGGTATGAATCAAGATTTAAGCCATACAAATGATCATGAACATCATGACATTTACTTTTTAACTTCGGATGGAATTATTACTTCTGTATCGAACTATGGGTATGAAAACTGGCGCGTAAGTTAGTATATTGTTTGGTGCTAGGTTCTAATGTGTCACTTCCCAAATTGATCTTCACCACAGTATGAATTAAGATATTTGAGCAGAGACCATATATATTAATATTGTTTAAACAATTGATCAATGTTCGTTTTAAAAATGATAGTTCATTGTTCTTGTTCCGCCGGATGTACCTGCATCCCAGAGTTGATGTTCACTCAAAGACTCGAATCCAGTTCTGCACATCAATAGGAAGATCCAAGCAACCAATACAAAATGAATTAATCCTCACTTCATTGCACAAGCTAGTGGTTATCTAGACTCAGTAGCTAAATGGATAATGCGATGGTGTTTGAAGCGAACAGTGCTGGGTTCGAGTCTCGGAGTGAACATCAACTCTGGGATTCAGGTACATACAGCTGATGAGTCCGAAATAGGGCGAAACGCGCATCCTGGATTTCACTGCTAGCCACTACGATCTTAGCTTATAATGCTTGTGACTGAAAGCAATATCGAGACAATCCGTACAAGATGCACATATGCCCAATGAGAGACTGATCAATCGCAGTCCTAAACATCAGTGGGAGGATTTATGCAATCAATACAAAAATGAACTAATTGCTTTATATGTTTTGTATTCTGTCATTAATCATAAGCATTTCTGGCGATATTACGGTTAGTTTCTTCCACAAAAGGGATAGGCTAGTTTTATTTGACAACCCATTATTTCTAGTGATTTCTAGTTGAAATTGTAATGAGTTGAACAGATTGTAGCATGCTGTTAGTATAATAAATAAATAGTGATTTCGATCAGGAATCATTTTGAAATCTTTGTAACTTCATTAATAAATTTCAGCGGACTTTTCAATTTACTTAATAAGTGCTGTTAATAACGATAAGAATGATCATTTTCAGTGCTGTTTTCAATTATCCTTTGTAAGAAAGAACAAAACCTAAAATTTTCTTGCTATTGTTGAGTTGCTTTGTTGCTTATTTTTACCGAGGATTTTTGTTTTATTCATTTACCAGTTGCTGTCATCTTACTTAAACATCATATTCTCGAAATGAAGTGTTTCTTTAGTTTGGTAGTATTGTGGTGTATACTACTTATGTTGACAAATGTAAGTAGTATGTAACTGATCAGAAGTGAAATGCCTGGCATCCGAAGGTTGAGAAGATCGAATCGAAGGAAACAGGAATGTAAACAAGGATTAATTGTAGTGAAAACGAGAATGAAGGAAAGATGAAGCATTATGAATCTTTTCCCCCAAATTGACCATTTGTTCTTGTTGCATTCAAATCATTATCTTGAAAATTGTTTGTAGGTAAATTCTGAAGTCTCCTGGTTACAAGTTTCACGAACCTTAGGAACACTTACGTCTCATGGAGAGGAAGGATCTGTTGATAAGCATTTAGATGATCTGTACATAGAACACTTTCATCCCTCGTTAACTACAATCAATCTTGCATCTTTAGGACAAGGATTTGTTCGTGATCTTAGCGTATTTTCCAAGATAAAGGTAGGTTCATATGATTTAAAAAATACCAAAAGCTTGTTGTTGAAAAACCTCTCATTTTCTATTATAACTGCCCACCAGCGTAACGAGGTCAAATCACTTTGACTGTGTTTGTATTTATGTCATCTAAACACTGACTTACAATAAAGGTAATATCCAATCACAATGAAGTCTATTCAGATTCTGGATAGTGTTGCCTGCCGACTGTATATATCAGTAGATGTATTTCTATTTACTCACTTTTTGATTTAATTTCTTTGTTAAGCAATGGGTTAGTTTGCTTTTTTAAAATTCTATCTCCGACATCTGCTTAAGTAGTTATGATTATTTGATATTTATCCGCTCTGTTGTTTGATTTAGCTCCATGTGCTTGTAGTTCAGAGTATGGGTGTTCAAATTGAATCGGGATTTACAATTAAATTTTAATTGCTAATATTTTCATTGTCGAGCTAAAAATCATCATCGGTGATACCGTTTTAGTGAATAAAGTTTACTCAATTGGATGAAAATCCAAGTGTATAACTTATTCAATCTATACTTTTTTCTTCATGGAGGGGTAATAATTCTTTTCTACTGTACTGTAATTGTTAACCAGTCTTCCAGTTATGTGAAGCCTTTAAAAGTGGGGATTTGTAGCTCAGGTTGATGATTTTGGTGGGGTTTGTTCTATGAGCTGGATGGTTCGGCTGTCGAGCTGTCATCGTTCTTCTGAACAGCGCCATCAGTGACAACTTCACGTAGATGTGCTCGGATTTTTCCATATATGACTCACAGCTTGTCCTGTAGACCTAGATTTGGACCTTTAATCTCTCATTGTTTACTTTATTTTGATTATATATCCTATTGATTTGATTATTTTTCCTATATTTGTCCATGATTTTTCTGATCTGTTGATAGATTGGCTTGATTTCAATGTGTTTGCTGATTGACATGAGTTCCAAGCTTCTAAAAATTCTTTGGTGTTTTTAGGATTCTTTCTATCCAAGATCTCAACATTCAGATTGTGCTGATGATGTTCAGAAGAACGATGACAGCTCCACGAATAAACCATTCTGCTCAGGGAACGAAACTCCACCATGAGCCTTTAAAAGTAGATTTCCAGAAAAGGTTTGAGGATCGCGTTAAGAATTCGCCTATTGGTTTTGAGTTTTAGCTTGAAATTACTAATTCAATTTCTATTATTAAAGTGTAACTTCTAAGTAAAAAACGTATATATTTTTATTGTTGTGACTTGAGACACTAATTGATATCACGTGCTAAACTTACCAGCTACAATCCTGACTAGAGATTTTTTGTTAGTGCGTCTACTATTCAGTTTATATCCTAGCGTCCTTCGTTTAACTGACTATACGTTCTGACCCTCACAGTTAACTCTGTGCCGACGAAAGCTACGCTTCTATTGGTCCGCTATCCAGAAACCTTTCACTATCCCCTGCCTTAAGTCTGGAGAGCAGTTAGCAGTCAGCTTCTAGCATACCCACATTTTAATCATCCAGCCCTACCAGCCAACACAATCAAGAACTTTCTCAAGCACCCACTGGCCTATGTACACGAGTTGTCAAACTGCACAACATACCAAATAAAAAAATCACACTAAATACAATTATACTATAAGCAGTAAAGAGCGAGACACACAGTACATAGTTAGCAATAATTAAGGAATGGTAAAACGTTTAACGAAAATTAGTAGATCCATTGGAAGCTTATAATGAAGAAAACGTAGAAATACAATAATATAGTTATTCACTGATCATACAGTAAAAGCGTGTATAATAATTTGGAAAATTGTTTCACAAGTTCCAACTTTTCCAGTATTCGTTTCATTTACAGTGTAAATGATTTTTGTATCCAATTAATAATGGAATATCATATATATTACCTGGTCTAATCTGTATGCGAAATTGTGAAGATGTATATCGGCACCTAGGATTTAGTTATATCATGTTTTAGACAACTCATTAAATACAGGTGCATTTGTTCTGCCTCGAGCTATACCTTTTTTCGTTCAGTGTAGTAATATTGGTATCCAATCAAAACGGTGGGAGCGAAGAAAGCGAGCTGACATTAAACCGGCTGTGTCTAATTTTCCCTGTCTTTTTGCCTCTACGACTGATCAATACGTAGTTTTCTAAACGTATAGTTTAACGATGAGTCTACCTTCAGAATGTATTGTAATTTTTCGAATTTGGTAGCAACTTGTTATTTCTATTTCTCCAGTGCTCCATTTTTCACTCGCTCTTGCTCTTGTGAATCAGCAATACTAGCTGCTGGCCTAATCCAAATTATTTAGATTGATCTTTCATCTGCAGCTTCATAGTTGATAGCTGAGTATGCTAAACACCAAGCAATGCTTTATCGTACCATCTCAATCGATATCAACCAATAGTAGATACCTTCATTGATGTCGAGCTTATGATTTTACTAATATTCCTTAATTGTTGTATTTCCAGCCTACAATAACTACTATGCCATTATTGGTCTCTACTGGATGGGATTCTGTTGGTGTTGTTGATCGAACTAATGGTAAATTATTGGCTGCTCATCGACTCCCAACTCAACCAACTGGTCAACCAATTGTTATTTCACTTGCACTATTCAATACAACTAAATTTTCAGAAGTTGTAAATGTTCCTACTATATTGTTGGTTCCATGTAATGATATGTACGTGTTGTTCTGTAATTAAATGTCTTTTAATGCAAAAAACATAACATCATTAGATGCTTTATTATCGAATTTCATCGAATATTTTTGTTTGCATAACTCTACCTGTAGTTCATCTGAGGTTACCACCGGTCCCATGCCCACACAAAGGAGGAGGGTTGGGAATGGGGTCAGCAACCACATCCCATAGAAAACAACCTTGCTAATAAACACTAACCAGAATAAACAAATTAAATCACTTAAACTCTACCCTCCGAGTTGAAGGGTCTTCATTCAGAAGAATTATAACACCTTATGGCAAAAGCCGAGATCCTTCAGAAGTCACGAGACAGAATCCCTTCCTAACAACCACAGCAACAATTAATATAGGTACATGGAATGTTCAGACAATGTGGGAGACTGGGAGTACCAATGAAATAGCTGCGGAAATGCGGAGATATAACTTGACGGTTCTCGGAATCAGTGAAACCTATTGAACCTAGTGTGGACAGGAAAAGATAGATTCGGTAGGGATGTTGCTGTACTCTGGTGACGAAGAAGAAAATGCTGCACACACTGAGGGAGTTGCTTTGATGCTTTCAAGAGAAGCTCGTAAAGCACTTATAGGATGGGGATCTCTTGGATCCAGGATCAACAAAGCATCTTTGAAAACAAAGAGGGAGGGAATCACAATGAAGACGGCAATCAGCAACAGTCGAACAATAACGGAGAAGGTCAAGGTACAGACCGAATACACAGAAGCAAATGAGCAAGTGGATTGGAGTATTAGAGCTGATAAGAAGAAATAGATGGAAGAGCTAGTAGTGGCAGCGGAGAAAGCTTGAAGAGCGGGAAATATGAAACAACTATATGATACAACGAAGAAACTGGTAGCGGAAAAAATAGTAAGCCAGTCCAGAACAGAGAAGGTTAAACCAATCACTGAGAATCAAGAGCTGAGGAACAAATGGGAAGGTCAGCTTGAAGAACTCTTGAATCAACAGCTCAACTGAACCCACCAAACATAGCAGCGGTACACACAGACCTCCAACAGAGGTCACTCCACCAACGATCAAAAGTCAGAATGGCCATCAAACAAATCAAGAGTGGTAAATCATTAGGACCTGACAATATACCAGCTGAATCACTGAAATCCGAACATGCTACACGTTCGATGACGAACACTGGTGGGTGGCCTATACTCTCCCTCGAGGGGTAACATGCGTATGTAAGTTTGCTTGCATACATTTTTAATCATTATATCTGACCGTTACTGGATGCAGCTCTACTTTATGAGATAATGGGCATATTACCAAACATCAATTGCGCTAAAGTAGTAATTACTTACTTACTTACTTACTTACGCCTTTTACTCCCAATGGAGCATAGGCCGCTGACCAGCATTCTTCAACCCACTCTGTCCTGGGCCTTCTTTTCTAGTTCCATCCAATTCTTGTTCATTTTTCTCATGTCTATCTCCATTTCTCGGCGTAATGTGTTCTTTGGTCTTCCTCTTTTCCTTTGACCTTCAGGATTCCATGTGAGGGCTTGTCTTGTTGCGGAGTTGGGTTCTTTCCTCAATGTGTGTCCTATCCACTTCCAGCGCTTCTTCCTCCACTGGGATCTGGTTTGTTCTCTCCCACAGTACGTTGTTGCTAATAGTGTCCGGCCAATGGATCTGAAGTATTTTGCGTAGACAACTGTTAATAAACACCTGTATTTTCTGGATGATGGCTTTCGTAGTTCTCCAGGTTTCTGCCCCATACAGTAGAACTGTCTTGACATTTGTATTGAAAATCCTGACCTTGCCGTTGGTTGACAGTTGTTTTGAGTTCCAGATATTCTTCAGTTGTAAATATGCTGCTCTTGCTTTGCCGATCCGCGCCTTCACATCTGCATCAGATCCACCCTGTTCATCAATGATGCTGCCCAAATATGTAAAGGTTTTTACATCTTCCAAATCTTCTCCGTCAATTGTGATTGGATTGGTGCATTCTTTGTTGTATCGGAGAATCCTGCTTTTCCCTTTGTGTATATTGAGACCTACTGCTGCTGAGGCTGCTGCTGCACAGGTCGTCTTCTCCTGCATTTGTTGTTGCGTTTGGGATAGAAGGGCCAGATCATCTGCGAAGTCTAGATCATCCAACTGCATCTTAAATGTCCATTGTATCCCGCGCTTCTCTTCAGATGTTGACGTCTTCATGATCCAGTCGATCACCAGGAGAAAGAGAAAGGGTGAGAGTAAGCAACCTTTCCTAACACCGGTCTTCACTTTGAACGACTTTGTCAACTGTCCTCCATGCACGATTTTGCAGTGTAATCCATCATATGAGTTTTGTATGATATTGACTATCTTCTGGGGCACGCCGTAGTGTCGAAGAAGTTTCCATAGTGTTGTTCTGTCCACACTATCAAATGCCTTTTCGTAGTCAATGAAGTTGATGTAGAGTGATGAATTCCGTTCGGTTGATTGTTCCACAATGATCCGTAGAGTTGCGATTTGGTCTGTACACGATCTATCCTTACGGAATCCTGCCTGTTGGTCTCGAAGTTGGGCGTCTACACAGTCCTTCATTCTGTTTAACAATACCCTGTTGAAGACTTTTCCCGGTATTGAGAGAACAGTGATGCCCCTGTAGTTATCACACTTGCTGAGATCGCCTTTCTTCGGTATTTTGACCAGAAGTCCTTCTTTCCAGTCTTTTGGTATGTGTTCCTCATCCCAAATCTTATTGAAGAGAATGTGGAGTATCCTTGCAGCTGCCGCTACGTCTGCCTTTAGTGCCTCTGCTGGGATGTTGTCTGGTCCTGCTGCTTTGCCACTCTTGATTTGTTTGATGGCCATGCTGATTTCTTCAATTGTTGGTGGGCCAACATTGATTGGGAGGTCCGTGGATGCTGCTTCGATATTGGGTGGGTTCAGTGGGGCTGGTCGATTCAAGAGTTCTTTGAAGTATTCTACCCACCTGTTTCGTTGTTCTTCAATGTTGGTGATTACCTTGCCTTCCTTGCTTTTCACTGGTCATTCTGGTTTGCGGCGATTTGCAGAGAGTTTCTTTGTTGTGTTACATAGTTGTCTCATGTTTCCTTCTCTTGCAGCTTTTTCCGCAGTCATTGCTAAATCTTCCACATGTTTACGTTTGTCAGTTCTGATGCTCCTCTTCGCTCGCTTGTTTACTTCTGTGTATTCAGCTTGCGCCTTGGCTTTTTCTGCTCTTGTTCGGCTGGTATTGATCGCTGCCTTCTTGTTCCTTCTTTCTTGAATCTTATCCAGTGTATCAACAGTGATCCATTCCTTGTGGTGGTGCTTCTTGTGACCCATACCTCATGACATGTTGAAGTGATTGCCTCTTTGATCCCCTTCCAGTTGCTCTCCATAGTAGTTCCTTCTCCATTGAGTAGATCATGAAAGGCCTGGAACTTGTTGCTGAGGTCTATCTTGAATTTGTTGAGTTTGTTGGTATCCTGGAGAAAGGCGGTATTGAACTTTTGTGATACTGTCCGCCCCATTGTCCAGTGCTTCTTGAGTTTCAATTTCATCTTGGCCACCAGCAAGTGATGATCTGATGCTACATCATCTCCTCTCTTGGTTCTCACGTCCTCCATCGTCCTCCTGAACGTTTTGTTGATGCAAATATGGTCGATTTGGTTTTGCGTGGTGTGATCAGGTGAACTCCATGTTGTTTTGTGTATGCGTTTATGTGGGAATATGGTGCCGCCTATGAGCAGCTTATTGAAGGCACATAGATTTGCGAATCTCTCACCATTTTCGTTTCTTTCTCCCAGTCCGTGTCGTCCCATGATGTCTTCATATCCAGTGTTGTCCGTTCCAACCTAGGCATTTAAATCTCCCATCATAATGGTCAGGTTCTTTGTTGGGCACTTCTCGACTATTGACTGCAGCCTATTGTAGAATTGATCTTTAGCGTCTTCATTGTAGTCATTGGTAGGCGCATAGCATTGGATGATGTTCATTGAAATGCCCTCTTTCTTTGTTTTGAACGAGGCTTTGATGATCCTTGGTCCATGAAATTCTCATCCTATAAGCGCATTTTGCGCTTGTTTGGACAGCATCAATGCAACTCCTTGTGTATGTGGTGCATTTTCTTCATCATGGCCGGAGTATAACAGGAGCTCTCCTGTAGTTAGTCGTAATAACGTCTCACAAATATCATAATGTTTGTGGTGAATTAATCATCTTAAAGGCGCATCACTTACGAAGAATATGCTTCAACATAAGACGGGGTACCCCAGTTCATTTTCAATGCAATTTCAGCTAATATATATAGCTAAAATAAAGGTACACCCACAGGTGTTTACTATAAGAACCGAGGCCACATTCTTGAAGGTAAAATGAAGCACTAAATTTGCAAACTAGGTTAATCTTTTATATTTAGCAAGAGATTATTGAAGTATGAAATTTGATAAAGCTCATATTTGATCGTCTAATCAGCTACTAGGAGTAAAATAACCATACGTTAGTGATTGAATAAGAAACAGAATCCTATGTCTTCATTATTTTATGTTGTTGAGTTATTAAAATTTCCAATTGCACACTTATTTTGCGATTTCGTGTCGTATAAAATTAACTAAACTGGAATTTTCTTTTCTTTTTGCTTTATTTCCGTTTTTAGACTTGTTGGTTTTGTTTTAGTACAAAGTCTACGCATATGGCTTTTGATACCTTTGATAATTAGTTTGACTGTATCATTCTTTGTGCTTACATGGTGTTGTGATTTGGATGCATAAACTGTTGAAAACTTAAAATTAATATTATTCTGTTTTTGAATAGGTTTAGCTAATTTTTTGTATTTATGATTATTGATTCTCGGATTTTATGTGTCGATAAATTTTAATTTGTACTATTTGCCTCAACCATCATTACTTTAAGTTAGTGGGTCAACGCTGATTTGGATCTGTTATTGTTATAGTCTGTTGTATTTCCTTCTAATGTTCTCCTCATTTGACTTCTCATATACTTGTGTATTTTCTTAATCGTGATAAGATCATTTGTCACATGGGATGACAGATAAAAAATTTGATAAGATTTTCATTTTTCATTACTTATATCTTTAGTTTCCTTAAATCATAATGAATTGCAATATAAACAATAATGAACGTAAAAACGAGCAGCAGTAAGGTAATTTGAAATACTTTTTGAGAAATACATCATTCTTCATTAAAGTTTTGAAAAGAGCGTTTGAAATCAAACACCCTCTATTATATATGTAAATTGAAGAACTCAACTAATCTTATTTCCCAACATAAGGCACACAATAGTTCTCATGGGAATCCTCTCAGGAATATGATCATTACATTTTAACGCCGTAGTGAGCTGTTACGACGACTTGGAAGTCTCGACGCTTTTAAACCAACGTTTAGTTTGTTGACCGCTTCATTTCCTTTTGGAATTGAAGCGGTCAATCCTGGTCTTCAGATGAGACCTGAAAGCTAAAAACAGCCTAAATGAATTGTTTAAACATCTAAGGGTAGATAAATTCTATTCGTCATTGGTAAAAAAACCTCACAATTTAAAAGATTCAACTCTCAACATATTCTTTATTTTGGCGCCAACTTTTATTTGCGAATAAGCTTCTTATGTACCCATCCAACTAGTTGAAATTCGGATCTCAGCTCATAGATTTAAATCTGAAGTTAGTATTGGACATTACGATAAGGCAAACAAATTTTCATCATAATGAACTAATAAAAAACTGCATAGTAGGAGTGGCACATTTATATACATTTACGCTTCCCTACTTCGCAATGAACAAGTGTCAGCCGCTTAGTGGTTCGACCACTATTCACTTTTCTTGAAATCTTACCCTAACTCATCATTACTTATTCAATAATATGTCATTTTTAAGATAACCCAGTCATCTTAGTCAGTGAAGGCTCATAGCATCTCTGTTTAGAACTTTGAGCTTAACACTACGGTTCCTCATTCTACACTTAATGTAACAAATTAGCAGATATGATTAACTGGGAATCTAACGAATTCGAATACATTGCACAGAAACAGCTAGTTCTTTCTCCAATAGATTTCCTACATTGTTTGTTTCATTTTCATAAATGTCCTAGGAAATAATTGTGAACAAGAGAAAAAAAGCGAAAAACGCTAATAGCATATCGAAAAGAATTGAGACATAAATTACCCATGTTCATTAGCGTTAGCGTAATGTTTATCTCATCAGAGATTAATCGATGTGCTTATGACTAATTTATTGTTCATATGGACAACAGATAGTGATTTATCATGTTTTATTAAATTATACAATGGGAAACATGATTAATATGAGAAAAGTAAAAGGGGTGAATAAAATTTGTGAGAAGAACAGGATATGAAAAGGTATTGTTATCTGTAAGTACACAATAAACAAACAGTGGGCATAGAAAGAAGAAAGAATGTAGAAGCACCTGAGAAAGTTTGATTTTATCGTTTTACAGGAAGAAGAAATGTCACCAACCAACAGAATTAGGATTTGTGGGGTTACTTCTCGGTTATTATGAGGTATTGGGATAACAACCTTGTCGCTTATAATGTCTCATGGTCAGTATTTTAATACTGGTCTGTGTGTTGGGCTTTTGGCTGAACTTAATCACCGACAGTAAGTCATCCACTGATATGAACACTCGGGTACGTTTATTTCGAAATCGCAATTTTATGGTCGGATCATGTAAATGTCATATTAATCAGGATTTCTCCCAGTTTATTAGCTTTTTATGCATGGGTAAATAATATAAATAAATTAGTTTCATATATCTTACGAATCTCCACTTGTACTGGTTGAACAATATCGAATGTAACTACTACTTTTTGTGGGAATCAGTTCGAAAACTGTTTAAGACGCGTCAGGAAATTGATACTACTTTTATCGTAATTCAGTAGTGTAAAGTATAAATGTGAACTTGAGTGGTTTCTAGTGTTAGCACGTCTAGGTGGTAGGATGGATGAGAAGCCTTGTATAATCATCCATGTAATACCCAATTTTGTCAGTTGGAAAACTCCGTGCAATTTATTGGGATTGAGTTTATCATAAATATATATAACTGCCTAGTATTCTTTGTAGTCGTATTTAGTTACGATAAGCTTGTCAGCAGTGAAAACAAGCATGGAAATTTTAATGGTTGAATAATGTTACTGTTTATATTTATTGTCACTCAACTTAAAGAAAAATGTTGGAAGCTGGCTCCTGTTTAATTTAGATTTTCCAATGTAACAGTTGTAGATAATTTTAAGCAGATAGTCATCTTAAAATTATTAATGAAGAAATAAAGGTAGGATACCTTCTACATTTTTTAAAGTTACTATTTAATGATAGTTGTCTCTAGGGATCTACTCATTGCTTCTCTCATAACGATCTACTTTATTTCTTATAACATAAGTAATTAGTTTTCTAATTGGGGATATTTTTATTACTTTTATGGATCTTGTGTTTGTAGTAAGTTGATAGAATCTATTCTATGTAGGATGTTGAAAAACTGAATTTTCTTTATAATCTGGATAATAACTGCATTGCTTCATATATTAGTTGAACAGTAAGTTATAATAACATCGTACATTTTATGTGTTTATCATAGTCTCAGAGAATTAGCACGGCCTACCAAGGATACATTACTGATGTACTCATTGAATACTGACGCTTATTTTACTAGAGAGAAATACCATTACGAACTGGACTGTTTAAGAATCACTTGAATATGTTTATCCATTTCTAAGTGTTACTGAAGTCAGTGAATCGTTCTCAAATAACAGGATACAGACGTGTGCAAAATCAAACTTAAAATACATATGTTTCCTTGATAAATAGATGAGGTAGATACATAAGTAATTCACGAAAGAATAATTCTTTAGTTACTGTGCAATGTAGTTAGTCATGATATTTGTCAGAATTATCATGAAGCTACTGCTAGAAAAGTACTAACCAGATTAATAATTGGATGGTTACCAATCTGAGATGATCAAAGTATGTTTTATTTATGTACTAGTTCCAAATCCCTATCGAATAGATATAAGAAAGCTCTATATCTGCCTAAGCAAGGTTTGCTTTGTAAAAAAAGTGATTGATGAAAGATAAAAATAAACATTAGTGATTCGAAAAACTTACTGGTTCTAAAATGGAAGTTCGAATATGATGTCACCTGTGGAATTTCTATAGATTGTGAAAGAAATGCACTGCTGAAAATGATCACTGCAACAAAGCCATACACTTAGACTACTACTCTATTGTGACAGCTACAAATAAATAAGGTTTGAGTGAATTGACCTTTGATAAGTCCATTTAGCAATTCTTGGTCCTCTGAAGCTATTTAAATCTAGTAAAAGTCAGATAATTTCATCGTCACATTTCTGAAATTAAACCCTCATTATTGGATAAACGACAAATAAACATGATTAGTAAACTTATGTAAATGTTTCGAGTGGTTTGTTACATACTTCCCTGTATTCGTACGATTTTCATGTTTTAAAATAAGTCTGTACAATCAGTGTCAGTATTTTAACAAATTAATTTATCTTTGTTCTCTAACGGCGATTTAATTTTGACGTTGAAAACACCTGGATAGGTGTTGCTTCTCAGCATGACACTGCCGAGTAGTGCGAATCCGCAACTCAAATTTTGACCTAACCAAGCAACTGGCACTAGATAACTGAACCGGTATCTAGTGGTTTTCTATTCAACAATTCACAGTTATTTACATATAATATCTTTCCAACTCCTCCAGAGTTTTTGCATCAAGTGTAATTGGACTGGTGTTCTCCGTGTTGTATTTGGAGATCTTACTTTTTACCTTGTGTATGTTGAGGACTACTGATGCAGTGGCTACTGCTACACTGGTTCTCTTGGTATGCATTTGCTTGTGTGTGTGGGATAGAAGAGCTAGGTCATCTGCAAAGACCATATCGTCTAGTTGCATGGAAGCTGTCCATTGTATTCCGTGCTTCCCTTCAGATGTAGAGGTCTTCATAATCCAGTCAACCACCAGAAGAAAGAGAAAGGAGGAGAGTAAACAGACTTGACTGACACCGATCCTCACTTGGAATGCGTCTGTTAGCTGTCCTTCAAGCACGATTTTTCAGTGTAGTCCATCGTATGATTTGCGATTGATGCTGACGATTTCCACAAATACACTATAGTTTCGAAGAACATCACATAATAATAAATAAGAATAATATATTTGTAATATCCCAATGAGTAGAAAATTAGATTTCCTGACGTTTCGTGACTTAGTGTAAGTCACTTCTTCAGAGAATAAAAACCACATAATAGTCTTCTATCCACGCTGTCAAATGCTTTCTCATAATCAAGTTAGTTGATGTGTGTTGACGAGTTCCACTCAATCGATTTTTCAACAGTGATCCGTAGTGTTAGGATTTGGTCTGTGCACGATCGATCCCTACGGAATCCAGTCTGTTGATCTCGAAGTTGGGTGTCTACTGAATCTTTCGTCTGGTTCAGCAACACTATCGAAAACTTCTAGTGATACCGATAGTACTGCGATGCCTCTGCAGTTCTCACATTTGCTTAGATCTCCTTTCTTTTGTATTTTGATGAGGTCTCCTTCCTTCCAGTTTATCAGCGTCACTTGTTTCTCATCGAAAATCTTCGTGAATAGAGTATGGATCATGTTTGCAGTTGCTTCTATGTCTGACTTCAGTGCTTCGGCTGGTATATTGTCAGGTCCTACTGATTTCCCACTCTTGATTTGTCTGATGGCCATTCTGACTTTTGATCGTTGGTGGAGTGACC